ATTAAGTCCTGAGACCCAGGGTGTGATCTAAATTAAAAAGCCACCGGTTCAAGATCCAACCTGAGTTGCACAGTTTCATTGGGATTTTTTATTGAGCCAATAAGAATGGACAATGCTGGTGGTGTGAGTATGAGCAGTTTCTCTGTACTTTCCCGTATTTTTAAGATTTCTCAAAGTAAACTAGATGCAGATTTTTGTCTTAAAAAATTGAAACACAAGCCTTGGAATGCTCCTTAGACACTTTAAAGGTGCCTTCCTTTGGTTCTTTGGTCTAAGGAAGGGTGAATCTACAAACCCCACTCTCCAGATGACTCAGACCAAAATCTATTTTCTCCTAAAACTGTCAAATTTTTCTGGTTTGAAGTTTATCAGTCCATCTTGGTTTGATCCTTCTCCACTTTCCGTGTTTTGTGTAGGTAGAGCCAGAGGCTCTTTGCGCTGAAGGAGAGAGGCCCAAGCAGCAGCAGCCTGGCTGGCAGCAGGAGACTGGTTACTGGCACTGGTGCTGACACACAGTCCTCTGAGTCCAGAATCCTGGGCTCTGGGCTCATTTGAAAGTCTCTGGTGCAGCTTCCATTAACACATATCCAACAGTCATGCTGGACCGATATTGGAAGGGCACATGGAAAGTTTTAAACCGGTAGGTATCAGGTGATGTAACTTTTCCCTTTAATTTTGATGTCCATTCTTTCTGTTTAAGAAGTAATTTCAGAAAATCCATTAATTCATTAACAATTCCCTTTTCCAAAGGAGGCCCAATGAAAAAATGGACTATTTTGAATGAAAGCGGTTTTAGGTGCTCTCTTAAAATAAATCACTGATGTCTATGGGTGGGCTGGTGAGAGGTAGTTTGAGAGGTTAGAGAAAGCAACATCCAGGCACTTCTCAGGAAACAAGAAAACAATCTCAAAGTGGAAATAAAGTCAAAAGCAGGATCACCAGGTGAGTATGTTTCATACTCAGGTCAATACTTTTCACGGTGTTTTGTTCACAGTTTCTTTTTGTAACAATCCTCTTTGATAACAAGTGACCAGGCCTATCTCCAGTGTGCAGGGCCCAGGGAATAAGTAGGTAGAAAATACAGCCTAAACTGGCATATTCCTTAATTCCAGATATCCCAGAAACTATACCCAAGAAGGAAACATTGGCACAGAATAAGTCAGTGGCGAAATCAGATTGCCTCACCTATTCAGGGGACAGACTTGAATGCACTTCATGAGTGGGCTGAACCCCTCTGCACTCTGGGGCCCTTAGGCAGAGGTGCTCCCCAGACCCCCTAAGACAGGATCTATATTCAAGCACAATACTTTTCTAACAGCAGACTCTGATAATATGACCTTTGAAAATTCTACAGGCTGGCTTCATGTGCTGGCCCTGCAACTTCTGTAGGGCTTTGAGTCTATGTAAAATGGGAATAACTACTGGACTGTTGTGAGAACTACAGGCAATAATATACAAGGCACAAAGCAAGCATTCAATAAATTATACCTTATTGGTCTTGTAAAAGATATTCTGATTCCCAAACTTTTACAAGAAAATATGATCCTTCATTAAACAATATTTTTGAGCTGCTGCCCAACCAGGGTTTCCTGGCCCTAACCCAACAATTCACAAGTGTTTCTCAGAAAATCTAAGGACAAGAAAACGGAATTAGGGATGCATCTTCATCTATTTCTGGAAATTTCCACTCTGGGGCCTTTTGCCTTCTCCCCTATCTCCCTGGTTCATTCTTTCAATCATCATTTATTGAAAAGTCTCTATTCAAGACACGGGTGCAGAAGAAAATGCAAATATGAAAAGTCTTTGTCTCCAGGGAGCTTTCAATACAGGGTAGCAAACAAGAAATCAGTGCTAAGCAGAATCCCTGTAACATAATTTCCTTGGGAATTCAGTCCATTACTTCGAAGATTTAGTTAACCTAATCAACAGATTGTTCTTTATTGTTTCTCAACTGCTGTTCTCTCACATACTTGCTCAGCATCCTCACTACCAATCCCATAGGTGAAACAATCCTTCTTTACATTAACATCAAGCTGAGGGAAGAAACTGGGACCTGCATGTCCCTTTGCCCTCAAATCTTCAGAGCCCCCAGAGAACCCTTTCACGTGTTTATTTTGCTGCTGAATCCATTTTCCCCAGGGACCACTCGCTGCTCTTTTCAGATGGCTCACTCAACCATCCTATCCTCTGCAGTGATTGCTGTCTCTTCCTTAACGAAAATCAAGGCCACATGAAACATTACTCAGGTCTACTCTTCATTCATTCAACACTTATCAGAGCATAGTAGGAGCCTGCACTGGGCAGACGTGGGAGCTGCTCCAGTGAGACCCAAGCGGCCATGGTCCATGACTTCACAGACCTCAGCCTACTATAATAGCTGCCAGGGAGCCGCGCTCAGTCGCTTCAGTCGTGTCCGACTCTTTGCGACCCCACGGACTGCAGCCCGCCAGGCTCCTCTGTCCATGGGATTCTCCAGGAAAGAATACTGGAGTGGGTTGTGGTGCTTCCTCCAGGGCATCTGCCCAACCCAGGTCTCCCTCATTGCTGGCGGATTCTTGACCGCTGAACCCCCGGGAAACCCTATTATGCTGTACATTCAACAAAGACTACACGAATACTTGCACAACTTGAACAGAACTGAGGAGAATTCCAGGTGTTGCAAGTCTTAGGATAGTTTTTCTTAAGAAATGACATTTGAAGAACAATCTCAATCGCAATGGAGGTTAACTAAGGGAAGAGGCAGGGAGGAGCGCCCAGGCAAAGAGAAAAGCTTCTGCAGAGGCCCTGGGGTGAAGGACTTCACATCATTTGAGGATCTAAGCGAAGCCAGGGGAGACCGGGGCAACATCATGCATGGGGCCTCATGCCCATCCTAACGAGTTTTTATCTTTCTAGGAGTAATCAGAAGCTTTACAGAGTTTCAAGGAGACAATGCCATGATCGAATTTACCTGCCCCGTGCGTCAGAGCAGGCAAGGTCTGGTTTTGCCCACCCGGTTCGCTCCAGCGTCCAGCCAGCGCCCGCTGTCAGCGGGTTCTCACGCAGGCGTCTCAGGAACGGATGAGAGCGCAAAGCCTGCCGCACGGACAGCGGCGGGGGTTGGGTCGCCGCGCCGGGGAGGGGCGGGCGGCGGTTGGCGCTGGGCACCTCGGGGACCTGAAGCGCGACAGAGTCGGCGCGCTCGGAGCTCTCGCTTCCGCGGAGGCTGCGTCTGGTTCTCGGCGAAGGGCCTAAGAGGTCCAGTCGGCGGAACCCACCAGTCTCTGGGCCCAGAGCCCCCAGAGCCCCACGGCGCCCAGGTGAGCGTCGCGGCCCAGGTGGGGCAGCCCGGCCGGCCCGGAAGCCCCTGCGCGCAGCGCCGGGCGCTCCCGCCGCGGTGCGGGTTGCCGCCATCTCCGGGCTGCGGCGACGCCGGCGACGGGCGTGCTGGGCAGTGGGCGGTGTCCTGGCGGCGGTGCGACCCCGCGGAGAGGCCTAGGCCCGCGCGGGCGGCGGGGAGGGCGCTCCGGGCGTCTCGCAGAGACCCGGCCGCTGGCGGGGCGGAGACCCGGCAGGGCGGCGGTTTGCTCCTGCTCGGCCAGGCCCTGGAACCCCCGGCTCCGGCCTCTGCCCGACTATAAATTCATTTGTCGCAGTCGGAAAAGTGGAGCCGACGTCACAGGGAAGGAAGCGCAGGAGCGGAACCTTCGCTGCCGGGGAGCACCGGGTTAGCATTAAGGTGTCTTTCCTTCCAGTCTCCTTTTCCCTGCAAAAATGAGCCGGCTGTATTTTTGCAGAGCCCGGATCACAAAGTGCTGCAGCCTGGCTTCTTTGTCTTACCAATACATCCCACGCGTCTGCGCGCGCTGATGTTTGTCTCCATCCTTTTTATTGGCCGCGAGCGGGTGCTTTGGTGCCAGGTTTTCCGCGCCTGACCAGGGCTGGACGCTTGTTGAGTGACAGAACTGTGATTCACTCCACGGATTATCTCCACGATGGTGAACATAGGGGTGGTTTTCACCAAAAACAATTCGTTGAGCACTGTTCCCTCTGGTTTTTTTATTGTGTAGAGAGGCTTGCGGTACCCATTGGAAAATGCTCCTTGGAAAAGTTATTCGCGTTTTTTGTGCCTCACATTTGGGAACACCTGGCTCAGAGAGCTAACTGAAAGACTTTGTTGGAGGTCCCAGTGCTGACCCCGCAGGCACCGTCAACACCTCTTCGTTAAGTTTGACGTGCCTTGTGCAATAGCTGGCCTTACCTAGAGCTTTGCTGAAAAGAAACTGAATACCTTAGTAATTTTTAAAACCGACTTAGGTTTAGCTTGGATAAAGCATTACAGTCCCCAGTACGATTAAATCTAAGTTAAAGCAAAATTCAGGCTGGGATTAGATAAATAGTGGAAACGTTTTAAAGTCCTACTCTGAAACATGGATGTTGAGTTGCTAGGAGAGGGATTTTAAATGATTATGCTGAGGGATGTGTCTCTAGAGACTCAAGAAACTTGCCGTGAGGACATGTAATCTTTTAAGTAAGTGACATTATCCTTATCAGTGAAAATAAATGAAATTTGTTTTTCCATCCTTTTTACTTACATTTTAAAAGCTGTGTGCTGAAATAGAGGGAATTTTTCTTTGTAATGATCATTTTCCAGTTTGATCTCCTTGAGATCAAAACTGATAATTAAATGTATGTATAAATGACAATGGATGAATTCCTTTCTCTCAAGTTTTAAAGCATAGGCTTCCCTGGTCTTCCCACCCATTTGGCAGGGCCAGGATCCTTTCTCTGGGGGGCTTTTCTGGTTCTTTGCTGTTGTTTAGTCCCTGAGTCGTGTCTGACTCAGTTTTGAGACTTAGCCCGCCAGGCTTCTCTGTCCAAGGATTTTCCAGGCAAGAATACTGGAGTGGGTTGCCATTTCCTCCTCCAGGTGATCTTCCTGACCTGGGATTTATCGAACAGCACCACCCCACCCCACACCCGTCTCCTGCGTTGACACACAGATTCTTTACCTCTGAGCCACCTGGGTAGCCCAGTTCTGGTCTTGACTGCTTCCCTTTCCAAGGACAGTCCCATGGCTGTGCTGTAATCATCTTTTGTCTCTGCAGAGCCTCTCACTCTGAGCTTAGTGCCTGGCATATGAATGACTGATGACTGCTAGCTTGGCAGATGAATTTAGAATATGACATGAATTTAGAATAAGACAATAGCTTAGAGATTTGTGTGACAGGTAAATTTATTATTCAAATGAGTAAGGTAGAAACCTGGGACATGTACAGCTGTGATCATCTCTTGGTCATAAGGGAAATCATATTCCAAGAAACACTACTGGCAGGACACCCGGGTTGTTTTTTTGTAATAAGTTTGTTGAGATATAATTCATATGCCATACAATTCACCCATCTAAAGGATACATTCAGTGGGTTTTTTGTGTGTGTATAGCAGTATTAATTTTTAAAAGTTGTGATCAATATATATGACATAAAACTTGCCATTTAAAAATGTCCAGTTCAGTGACTTAAATGAACATAAAGTTCATTTATGATGTACAGCCATCACCACTATTTCCAAAACATTTTCAACACCTTCAACTGATAGTCCCTAAGTAAATGTTGAATGTATGAATGAATGTTGATAGTAGAGAGAATATTTTATGTGACCTTGATTTCTAACCTCTCTTCTAATTTGTTGTGTTGCCTTTTATGCTTTATATGAAATATAATTAAGATGGTACTAAACCTTATCTTAGTGTGGTAATATTTGAAATTCCTTAAAGTGAAAAATTGGGCAGTTCTTTCAAGTTTGTTGAATTACTGAACTTTCTAGAGTCTCTAAAAGTTGTAGAGCAAAATCTGAGTGATATCCCAAACTCTACTCTGATTTATGAAAGATACGTATCCTATGTTATATTATGCTATTTAGCTTACTCTACTGCTCTGTGTTTTTGCTTTGATAGTTCTAGGATACCCTCCACTTTCATATGAGATATCCTAACAGGTATTTTTAAGGCTAGAAAAATCTACAAATATATAAGGTGCTAATTACAAAAAGAGATTTATTTTAGGTACAGTGTATTTTGAATCTTTAGTTTTTATTCTAAAATGTTTAGCTTTTCTTTGCCTGTTGGGTTGCTTTTATGGGTGCCAAGGTCTTCTTTGATATCTTTTTAAAAAGCAGTTTGTCACATTTGGTTATTTCCAGACAAAAAAAAAGATTGACAATCTCCCATTTTTACAAGGAGAGAGCACCCTTGGACATCTATATGGAAAAGACTAGACTAGGGTAGGTCTTGGAAGCAAAAAAATAGTTGAATTTATTATTCAATAGGTTTGGCAGGGGTAAAATTGTTAATCCTAAATCTTCAAATGTGGATGGTTTTCTATGAATGTGAGTATTACATTTGCTTCTGATTTTGAGCATTATAGCCCAGATACTGTTTAGTTAATTACAGAGGTGTTCTGGACTCTGGATTTGGCTTGGACTCTTCTGGTGACCTGAGCAAACCATATAGCTTTTGTGAATTCATTATTGGCACTAGTAAATTAATTGGGTTTGAGTAAGTGGGCAAATTAAGTTTGCTCTTAAAGAGCAAACTGGCACATCCCTGGCTGCTTCCTGCATGCTTAACATTTCTTTGAAGTTGTCTTTAAAAATTTTTCTTAATTATGTATTGTACCATAATATAGCTTTCTAAATTTTAATATGAATATTGAATTTTAAATTTGTTACTACCATGTAACATGACTGCCTCCAGAGGATGCATTGTTTATCCTGGGGTTTTCTGTATTCCCTGACCTACTGCCTCATACCCTTGGGGCTTCTTCTCAATTTGAGAAGCAAGAGACCCAGAGGACCTCTACATCTCTTGCAACTCTGACATGGTATGATACTTGAAATAAACTAGAGTTTATTCTCTTAGTTTTAGGAAATTATAAATCCATAACAGGGAAAAATATGACTGGCTGACATGCATGATTTAATTTCTTTTCCTGACAATTAGAGATTCCAGTTCTATTGTATGTAAAAGCTGTTTCATCAGAAACTGCATGCATTTTAAGAAATGGATTGCAAAGTTAGAAAAACTCTTTGCTGCTCTCAATCTTTCCTTGCTTTCCTTGCACTTCTGCCTTTTTCTTTCCTGGCTCCTAATTGGATTAAAGACTGTTTTGCCAACCATGGCATCTGGAGATGACAGTCCTATCTTTGAAGATGACGAAAGGTAAATGTCTTGCATTGTGATAAAACTGGGTTATGAAGCTTTAAAGATGGGCTTTAATCATTCAGGAGAGTATCCAGGCTACTTTTTTGGAGAACACATTTTGTAATACTGCAGAATGCATAGTTTTGCTTCTCTGTGATTTCCAGCAAGGGTGGTGAACACCTGGCATGGAGGTGGCCATCACTAATGTGGCATCTTTTCCCATAAAACCTGGATATGAGGTCTGCAAATCCCTCTCAGCACAAAATTCTTGGCAATCACTTCCAAAATGATATGAAACCTATTTACTGTTTCTGGTTTAGAGCCTACAAAGGAGATTAGAGTGAATGAAGAGGAGGATGTGGTTAAGAGAATAGACTCTGGGACCAGACTCCTAAAATTACATCCCATCTGCCACTTACTGTCATTGTGACCTTAGACAAGCCTTTAGCCTCTCTGAGTCTCGGTTTCCTCATCTGTAAATAGAGGAATAATAGTACCCACCTCATGGTGAGGATTCTTTGAGTTAATGTGTGTAAAGCTCTTAGAACAGTGATTGGCACACAGTAAGTACTGAATAACTGTTAGTTATGAACATTACTGCTGTAATGTTACTTCTCTCAAAGCTAAAACTCTGTATCAGTATAAAAATATTACTTATATGTTATATATGCATTATATATGATATATATTTTATATTAAGACATTAATATAAAATACATGTTTAAGTTGTACCAGAAATGTCACAAAACAGAATCCTTTATATTTTTAATAAGATTTCCTGTAAAAAAAAATTTCCTGTAATAATGACAAGATTACTGTTTTCCATAACATTTTTATATCTATTATGGAACATTTCTTCCATGACTTTTTTCTCAGTCTTAGCATTTTTTTTTTTTTTAGTCTTAGTATTTTTACATTAGAACCTATTTTTTAAAAAATGAATCCCTAGTTATTGGTTCAAGTATAAAAGGTTTTAAGAATTCTTGCTTTAGAGTGATAGGATCTGAAAAGATAAAAACAAAATTAAATCCTGTGCTTTTTAAATGACAGGAGGGAGGAGTAGAAACTTTTTACTGACCTTTCTGTGGCCAAGCTTAGAATACTGTCCTGGATAAACTGATTGATTCTTAATCCTATTACTGTTAAGGTGACTTTGGAATTATCTGACTGTATACCCATAGATAGTAATTTCATCTTAAAAGAAGAATGCATAACAGGGTGATAATAGTTACATGTATTGTAAGTAGGCTTTCTTAGCTTATATCACTTTAATATTTTGTAATTTTAGGGCTTTTCAAGATCTGATATTTTCATCTTGGAAGGATTAATTGGTTATTCTGTTACTGTTTTTGCCTATTATAATTGCTTAATTTTATTCCCTTAGCCCTCCTTACAGCCTAGAAAAAATGACAGATCTTGTAGCTGTTTGGGAAGTTGCTTTAAGTGATGGAGTTCATAAAATTGAATTTGAACATGGGACTACATCAGGCAAGCGAGTGGTGTATGTAGATGGGAAGGTAGGAAAAAATGTTACTTTGTGAAATATAGTGTACAGAGAAGCTTAATTTTGCTAATGTATATTCTTCCTATGTGAATACAATGCTTTTCCCTTACAGTGGTTATATCTTTATATATTGGCTTGTATCATTTTGCCATGCAAAGCAGACTAATAATAGTTGCGGGATTCATAGACTATAACATCTAATATTTAACTTTAAAATGCCTTTATTTTCTAAAATCTTTGTATCATGAGGTAATAAAATCACATCTAAATAGCACTGCCATTTATTCTCTTTAATTATATTATTTCCAAAGTTAAACTTTTAATTTTCTCCCATTTGTATGTTTTTAACTTTCATATTTTATTACTTAGGAAGAGATAAGAAAAGAATGGATGTTCAAATTGGTGGGCAAAGAAACCTTCTGCGTTGGAGCCTCAAAGACCAAAGCAACCATAAGTATTGATCCCGTCCGTGCTTTCGCTTATGAATATACTCTGGAAATTAATGGGAAGAGTCTCAAGAAGTATATGGAGAACAGATCAAAAACCACCAGTACTTGGGTATTACATTTGGATAGTGAGGACTTTAGAGTTGTGTTAGGTAAGTGAAAGACATTTCTGCAGAATTTTTTTCCTCAGAATTTTTGAAAGCCTTTTTCCAGTCTCTTCTATCGTCCATGGTTTTGAATGAGAAGTTTACACCAGTCTGAATCTCATTACTTAGTATTTTTTTCTGTCTGGAAGCTTTTGGGGGCTCATTTTTATTTTCCAAAGTTTTACAGTGATGTGTTTATAAATGTAGTGGCTCACCAGCTGCTTTATTTTTAGATGAAAAATGGTATTTCAGCATTTTTAAAAATTTGCCTTTTTTCAAAATTGAGTGAGGTTGATCCTCTTTTTATATGTAAGGTCCTTTTGTGTTTCATTTCTGGTAATGCCTATGTGTTTCCTGTGACCTGTTTTCTTTTGGGTTGTTGGTCTTTATTCTCCTCGATTGCTAGGAGTCTTTCTGTTACTAAGCGCTGTAACAGAACTTAGTGCTGTGAGTTCTGAGTGCTGTGAGCTTCAGATATTTTTCTATTTGTCATTTATTGTATCACTTTGCTTCTCTGTGTGTGTATGGGTTATTTTAATCATGCAGAAATCTTTTTTACTTTCATGTAGTCAGAGTTGCTCCCTTTTTCTTTTATGGCTTCTGATTAGCAATGTTCTTCAGAGGAATGTTAATACCAGCTATTACAGAAAATCTGAGTACGTGCAACTATTACAGAAAATCTGAGTATGTGTACATGTTCAGGAGGCCAACTAAATAAAATTCCAACTGTCACCTCCATCATGGTTTATTTGAGCACTGTGGGCTCCGGTCATGCCATGTGAGCTGGGTTTCCCACAACTGTGGCCTTGGATGCTTCCCATTCAGGCTGCCACTGGGTGGCCACTCCCATATCTCCTGGGCCCTCTGCCTTTCTCTCTGTGCCTCTAGCCCAGCTCCAAGTCCTTTCTCCACTCTCCAAGTGAGGCTCCTATCTCGAGATGCAGGGAGAAAAGACCCTGTTCCTAGAGTAAATGGCTTGTCAGAGTCAAGGCACCTCATCCTTGACCCCCAGGCAGCCTTTGACCCCTAGACTCATTGTAAACACACAGGTCCTGCCTCTCTCTAGTCTTTGTTATAACAACCAAAGCTTGTCTTCTGGATGCTTGATGAGTATATCTTCTCTCCTGACACTCCTGGGAACCCTGACATTCACAAGTGGTTCTGGGGATCCTCCCCAAAATGCACATATGTCTGTGCACATGGCACACATATAGCTCAGTTGGTAAAGAATCCACTTATAATGCAGGAGATGCCGGTTTGATTCCCGGGTAGGGAGATCCACTGGAGAAGGGATAGGCTACCCACTCCAGCATTCTTGGGCTTGCCTTGTGGCTCAGCTGGTAAAGAATCTGCCGGCAAGGCAGGACACCTGGGTTCGATCCCTGGGTTGGTAAAATCCACTGGAGAAGAAAAAGGCTACCCACTCTAGTATTCTGGCCTGGAGAATTCCATGGTATAGTCCATGGAATCACAAAGAGTTGGACAGTACTCAGCGACTTTCACTTTCACTGGAGTGAGCTGTGGCCACTTAGCTAATGCCCACGTGTATCATGGCAGCATTTTGCTCTATTGTGTCAGCACTGTAGTCAGCACAGTCCATGAAATACTATACCTATATTTCTTCTTATGAATTAATAACTTTTCCCCAAAGTGACATCATAACAAAATGAACAGAGATTATTGTAATCTTCAGTATGAAATTTAAGACTAAATTGCTGTCTGTCTATATGAACCCTATGCAGCCTTTTTTGTGGTCTCTTTGTGCTATCATCCAGGTGGGTCAGTATGAGAGGCAGGGAGAATCATCTAGTTTCTGATGTTAAAGAAAATTTGGATAAGGATAAATTAGGAGTTTGGGATTAACAGACACACTCTGCATATATAAAATAGATAACCAACAAGGACCTATTATATAGATCAAGGAACTCTATTCAGTATTTTGTAATAACCTATAAAGGAAAAGACCCTGAAAAAGGAAAGCAATATTGGCTACAATCCAAAAAACAAAAATGAAAAAGGGATAAGTTTAAATATTATATTACTTGAAATATGTAGGCTTTTTTTAATATGTAGGTTTTTAAAAAGCCCAAAGCACTCTGTAATTTGCTAAAATATATTGATATCCTAAATGGAAACATATTGTAATCCTGGGAGTGTGTAAACCCTTCTTTCATTCAATACCAGACCTTCAGTTCAGTTCAGTTCCAGTCGCTCAGTCGTGCCTGACTCTTTGCGACCCCATGAACCACAGCACGCCAGGCCTCCCTGTCCATCACCAGCTCCCAGAGTCCTCCCAAACCCATGTACATTGAGTCAGTGTTACCATCCAACCATCTCATCTTCTGTTGCCCCCTTCTCCTCCTGCCCTCAATCTTTCCCAGCATCAGGGTCTTTTCCAGTGAGTCAGCTCTTCGCATCAAGTGGCCAAAGTATTGGAGTTTCAGCTTCAACATCAGTCCTATCAATGAACACCCAGGACTGATGTCCTTTAGGATGGACTGGTTGGATCTCCTTTCAATATTGCTGAAGCCTGGCTTAAAGAATTTTGAGCATTACTTTACTACCATGTGAGATGAGTGCAATTGTGTGGTAGTTTGAGCATTCTTTACCAGACCTTAGAAATGTAATTAAAACATTTCAGGTGATGTGAAAAAAAAGGACATTCTCATATGGACAGTCTCTCCTTACATTCATTTGTCTGTATTCTCCTGTATAGATTTTCTTTAACAAATCTTCATCAGTGTTTATTATATCATGATTTTGTCTTAAAAGATTGGTTTCATTTTGATTTTGTGTGTGAACAGAAAAATACAATTTCTTCAAATTTGGAAGAATTTCAAAGCCATGAAAAGTTAATGGAGTTTTCAAAAATCCAGTGTATCAAACTTTTCTTAAAATAATAAAGAGTTAACTTTATCTTTAAATCACAGACTATAATTTTTTTGTAATCGGTTGCTTTTACAGAGAAAGACACTATGGATGTATGGTGCAATGGCAAAAAAATGAAGACAGTGGTAAGCTGATCATTTGATTACTGTCACCATGTTCATGAGTGGCCAGTGAAACATTTCTGTGTTTCCTAACTATGCAGATTTTTATAATTAATGAAGGTCCTTTTGGTTATAAACAAAAAAGAGATGAAGTAATCCTGTCTCCAGAATCTGAAGCCCTTTTTTGGTCAGTGCCTGGGGTAGTGAGAGTTTGGAAACAACTCGTCTTGTGACTGGTACTAGCCTTGGACCCTGCTTGTCCTCTCCTGGACCATCCTCTATCCTGAAAAGATCTAACCCACATTTAAAAACATCCTCCCCAAAGGTTGCATCCTCCTGTGTTATCCTGGTTTAAGTGGTGCTTTATACTACTGTTTCTCAGATTTGCATGCACAGAATCATCTTGGATCTTGTTAAAATGCATATTCTGATATGTCCTCAGGTGATGCCCAAGTTGCTGGCCCATGGTCACACTCTGAATAGGAAAGCTTTACACCATACACTCAAAACAGATGGTACTTTCTCAAAGCAAAGGTTGTGAAAAAGAAACGAAGCACACATGTCAGGTGAGACAAAGGCAAACAGGAAAGGGCAGTGTCACAAACCCCAGAAGACAAGTGGGATTTGTAGACTAGCAGTGCTGAAAGGCTGCCCTGCTCGTTGTAGCTGAGAAACCCTAGTGTGTTGGACTGTTGCTGCCTTGCACTGTTATGGCTGTGGTGGGATGAGTATAGAAGTGAATTTCAAGTAGGTAGGAAATAATAGTGGTGTGCACAGCAGAAGGAGGAAGTGAAGCAGAGGAGATGGTCCTGGACACAGGGAGTGTGGGCCTAGGAGCTGGAATGACTGGGGGGAAATATCCACGTGTTATGGGATCAGGTGGCAAGTAGCACGTACCATCCTGGGTGTCCCCTTTCGTGCTGACTCCAGTTGTGACACCACAGCTAGAGATGATGAAAATTATGAGAAGCTCTCTTTGCCAGGCATACTGTAGCTAGCTATCTATTGTGGTTGCTGCTATTACCTTCTTTTTCTGTTGTAGGTTTGGGAGGGTGAGGAGATGTCCTTGGAGGGAAGGCCTGAAATGAATTTATTCAGAAGACATGCTAGAATCTGCTGGGTCTTGAAACCGCTTCTAACAAAGTGCATAAGCCAGAAATCAAAAGTTACAAAGATTAATGCGTTTATGTTTCTTAATCCTGATATTAATTCTTGAAGGGACATGCAACCAGGGTTCACTCAAAATTGAACCTCAGTGTTTGAGCCATCCTCTGGGTTCCATCTACTCATTGAGACTTTTATGCAGAGAGGCTTAATGAGCTCTTCAATATTTTAGGGCCTGTTTTGGACCAGATTCAGTGACCATTAACATGGATTGGGTACCTGCTGTCGTGCCCGATGCCATACCTGGTGGTCCTTTCTGTTCTTTCTGTCCTACCATGGAAATTTCTAGATGAAGAGTCAGCAGTTTGGGGTCACATTCCCTCCAACCCTCCAGGAATTCTCCCGTGCAAAAGTAGCATTGTTTCAAGAATGTGGTTGTAAATAAGCAAGAAGTTGAAATAATATCCATCCACCAATGTCTTTGTTCCCAACTGACAAGAAGCCACAAGTGTCTGGACAATAACTCTCTCTCACCCAATTGTCTCCTCCTTGTAACTGCAGCCTTCTTGGCAAGGTAGTTTTGGCAGCTCTGTGTTGGGCAGCCTTCCCAGCACTATGCACACCTGCTCTCGCTGCCTGTGAGCTGCAGCTTATTTTCTCCATTTCCTTTTCATTTCAAAGCATCATGACCAGATTATGTATTTGTCAAATTGCCAAGAAGCAACTTACAAGGACTCTAGTACTCAACCCTTGCTCTCCTCTCTAAATTGATATTTACAGAAGTATGCCCTAAAGCCTTTTTTCAAAGCTCAATGTGAAAAGGGCTAAAAGAATACACTGGACTCCAGGATCAGCACCCCACCCCCAGTCCTTGTGGTGGTCAGTACACATCCATGTTGGCCAGATTCTTCCCAGAGCCAAGAAAAAGCTTCCCTCTCTGATGCCTGCTGTGCTTTCTTTGGCTAGATAATGTTAGCAACGGGGCCTTGATCTGTCTGCTTTGGCTGCCAGGAAGCTCATAGCCAAGTTGTACATCTGATAGTGCTTCTTTTGCTTCTTGGCATAGTTCATTTTTATCCTCTAAACCTCATGCTCTTTCCTTACTTTTCACTCTAAATCAATGCTGTTCAATAGAAATATAGTATGAGCCACAGATATGAGCTTCATGTATAACTTTTCTAGTAACCACATTTTGAAAGTCTTATGGTGAAGATCATCTTAATAAAAATTTAAGTCACTGTATCAAAAATATTATTATTTAAAATTTAATAAATATATAAAGTTTCCAATGAGTTTTTTTTAACCATTCTTTGTTTCATACTAAGTCTTCCAAATCCAGTGTGTATTTTCCCCTTTAATAGTGTATCTCATTTCAGAATCACATTTCATGCTCGATTGCCACCTGTGGCCAGGGGCTGTTGTACCATATACATCAAGTTTTGACTTAGTTCAGTTCAGTTGCTCAGTCATGTCCACCTTTTTGTGACCTCATGACTGCAGCACACCAGGCCTCCCTGTCCATCACCAACTCCCGGAGCTTACTCAAATTCATGTCCATCGAGTTGGTGATGCCATCCAACCATCTCATTCTCTGTCATCCCCTTCTCCTCCCACCTTCAATCTTTCCCAGCATCATGGTCTTTTCCAGTGACTCAGTTCTCCACATCCGGTGGCCAAAGTATTGGAGATTCAGCTTCAGCTTCAGTCCTTCCCATGAACATTCAGGACTGATCCCCTTTAGGATGGACTGGTTGGATTTCCTTGCAGTCGAAGGAACTCTCAAGAGTCTTCTCCAACACCACAGTTCAAAAGCATCAATTTTTCGGCACTCAGCTTTCTTCACAGTCCAACTCTCACATCCATACGTGAATACTGGAAAAACGATAGCTTTGACTAGACGGACCTTTGTTGGCAAAGTAATGTCTCTGCTTTTTAATATGTTGTGTAGGTTGGTCATAGCTTTTCTTCCGAGGGAACCATCTTTTAATTTCATGGTTGCAGTCACATCTGCAGTGATTTTGGAGCCCAAAATTTTATAATTTATATGAGCACTGACAAACTGTACTTCCAAACTTAAAAGCATTTGGTCTGTGAAAGTACAGTTAAGAGAATCAAAATGTATACAAGCTACACTAGTAGAAAATATATGCAAGCTACACATATAATAGAGATAGTATCTATCCTTTGTTAGATTGTGTAAAGTGTTGTCAAAACTCGAGGTAAAAATGATCCAATTAGAAAACGAGCAAAGGATAAAAAGGGACATTTCCCCACAGATGATATACAGATGGCAAATGAGTACATGAAAACATGTTCAACTTAGTTAGACTTTAGGAAAATGCAAATTAAAACCACAACGGATATCACATCTATCTGTGTAGCTTTTATTTATTTATTTTTCCATTTATTTTTATTAGTTGGAGGCTAAAAAAACTAGCGACAATACCAAATGTTGGTAAGAATGGACAGCAACTCAAACATTGCTGATAGGAATATGAAACAAGCAGCTTCTAGAAAACAGTTTAGTTTTTTTAAATAACTCAGCATGCAACTACCATGCAATCCAATAACTGCACTCAGACATTATTCCTAGAGAAATAAAAATATGTATCAACATAAAAACTTGAACATAAATGTTTATAAAAGCTTTATTCATAAGTCAAAAACTGGAAACAACCTAGATCTCTCTCAAAGGATGAATAATTAAGTAAAGTGTCCTACAGTGAGTGATGTCAGCATCAAGGCTCTATGAGAGTCCCTACTATCTGCCCCACCATTTAAGAATGAAAACGTAGCATCCATCTATGATCAAAGGTATCTCAATGGAAGATACTGAATCCATCTCCATCTGCCAAGGAATCTGGGAGGAATAAGGACCTTGGAAGAGTATCACCCACCTGTGCACCAGACAGACAGAACTCAGATAAGCAGCAAAACCAGTAGGAATCTGTGAACCTGCTCAATTTTTTCTGGCCACAATCACGGAAAACTAGAGAGTGCTAACTTGGTCAGATACCCGCAGATAAAGGCAACTTTGTAGAAGTCCAAGTTACTAAGGACAGTTTCCAGCACTTCACCGAACTAAAAAAGATATATACAAGTTTGNAGAGAACAGCATGTATATTATCTATAGTGAAACAGATCACCAGCCCAGGTGGGATGCATGAGACAAGTGCTCGGGCCTGGTGCACTGGGAAGACCCAGAGGAATCGGGTGGAGAGGGAGGTGGGAGGGCGGATCGGGATGGGGAATACATGTAACTCCATGGCTGATTCATGTCAATGCATGAGAAAACCCACAGAAATGTTGTGAAGTAATTGGCCTCCAACTAATAAAAATAAATGAAAAAAATATATAGTGTCATCTACATATCTGAGGTTGTTGATTTTTCTCCCGGCAATCTTGATTCCAGCTTGTGCTTCATCTACCCCAACATTTCACATGATGTACCCTGCATATATGTTAAATAAGCAGGGCGACAATATACAACCTTGATGGACCCCTTTCCCTATTTGGAACCAGTCTGTTGTCCCATGTCCAGTTCTAACTGTTGCTTCCTGACCTGTATACAGATTTCTCAAGAGGCAGGTCAGGTGGTCCGGTATTCCAGTCTCAGAATTTTCCAGTTTGTTGTGATCCACATAGTCAAAGGCTTTGGCTTAGTCAATAAAGCAGAAGTAGCTGTTTTTCTGGAACTCTCTTGCTTTTTCAATAATCCAGTGGATGTTGGCAATTTGATCTTCGGCTCCTCTGGCTTTTCTAAATTCAGCTTGAATATCTGGAAGTTCATGGTTCACATACTGTTGAAGACTTACTTGGAGAATTTTGAGCATTACTTTGCTAGCGTTCAAGATGAGAGAAATTTTTGTGGTAGTTTGAACATTTTTTGGCATTGCCTTTCTTTGGGATTGGAATGAAAACTGACCTTTTCCAGTCGAATGGCCACTGCTGAGTTTTCAAAATTTGCTGGGATATCGAGTGCAGCCCTTTTACAGAATCAGCTTGTATGATTTGAAATAGCTCAATTGGAATTCCATCACCTCCACTAGCTTTGTTTGTAGTGATGTTTCAAAAGGCCCACTTGACTTCACATTCCAGGATGTCTGGTTCTAGGTGAGTTATCACACCATCATGGTTATCTGCGTCATGATCTTTTTTGTATAGTTCTTCTGTGTATTCTTGCCACCTCTTCTTACAGTAGTGTTAGGTTTTATGTTATTTACATTATGTATTTATTGTAAGCCACCTTGTAGCCTGAGGAATCCGATTTTCTGAGTGGTGAACAACACTCCATCTCTCACTGACTGGGGTCTTCAGCAAGTTATTTAATGACTGTGTGCCTGTGTTCTCATGTATAGAATATGGATAATAATTATACTCCAATCAGGTTATTGTGAGGATGCCATAAAGCAATGCATGTAAACCATTCTTTGTATAGAAGGAATCACAAATTTCCTATCATTTTAACTTTTGTAAATAGTCTATATTTTCTGTATAGTATATGTTATGGACACATAGCCACGAGGTATACTTCTTTTTTTTTCCCTCTGAAACTTAAGATTCTTAAAGACTACAGTGGTACAAATAAATAAGACTTTCAATTTATAACCGAGACCTAAAAACAAGCTTCTAATCTTGCAAAGCTTACCATTGAGGTAACATGTACTTCATTATGTCTCCCTTTCTCAGTGATGTTAACGCTCTGGACAAATATAAATGTTTCTGGAACACTAATTCCTCCTCCTTTTGTTTGCCTAGGGTGAATTTGTAGATGATGGGACCGAAACTCACTTCAATATTGGGAATCATGACTGTTACATAAAGGCTGTCAGTAGCGGCAAGCGGAAAGAAGGGATTATTCATAGTCTCATTGTGGATAACAGAGAAATCCCAGAGATTCTGAAATGACTTCATGTTAATGAATTTTAATCTTAAGAAGTAAATATCAGGACTTTTAAATTACTGTGGTAATTAAATATGCTTAGTATGTACTTTTCAGTACATCTAGTCACCTTGTTTTTATTTTATAGTTACTTGAAACTAGTGTTTTAAGCATCAGGAAAAAAAATGTATCATAAAAATTGCAATCTATTTTGTAAATAATATAAAATGTTTAAAAGTCAAATGGAAAATAAGATATGGACCAAAAAATCACTAATGTTTTACAGGAGCAACTTTTACTATAATAAATGGATTTCTAACCAATGTATTCACTTTAAACTTTTTTTTTGTTTTTATTTTTTGGCCGCACTGTGTCTTCATTGCTGTGTGTGGGCTTTCTCTAGTTGTGATGAGCAGGGGCTAATCTTCATTGTGGTGCACAGGCTTCTCATTGCAGTGGCTTCTCTCATGGAGCACAGACTACAGAGCAGGGATTTGAGGCAGGAGACAGTGGGTCTCTGGGCCAGAAACCTGGTGTTTGTCAAGTGGAGTAAAACTGAGCCTTTGTTCTCGCCCAGATACTCCAAGGACAAAGCTAGTGGTAGAAGCTGAGTTCTGCTAAAGCAAAGAGATAAGGTGCCCACTCCTAAGGTCAAGGAAGACTTCCCTGTCTCTACATGGGCAGGAAGTCTTCTGGGGAGTAGAGAAATGAGGGGACCCCACTCCATAATCAGTGTGGATATGCAGCCATAGGCTTCTACAGTGGGATCCGTCTTAGCAAAAAGTTGTACATACATCTTGGGGTGGATCTATGGGCCACTCAGGTGTGAAGAAAGAAACAGTTGGCCAAGAGTAAACAAAGACCCAGAAGGACTGTCCTAATAAGTGAATGACATCACCTCAGTACTGTGCTGCTCCTCCTCACTCAGGACACCCGCATTTCTCTCCAGGTGTGTCTCCGCCTAGTGTCTGATGTACTGCACTCCTCACTCAGGATGCCCACACTCCCCTCTGGGTGTGTCTCTGCCTAGCGTCTGATGTACTGCACTCCCCATTAGAGAGGCTGCGCATATCCTTTCTCTTGGGTGTGCATCTCTGCCCTGCTTCTGAGTTGGATAAGCAAACTGGTTTCCTGTGTGCTCTCCCATACATTGTGCTGTGCCTCTAAATAATAAACTTTCTACTTGTTTTTACAGTTTTTGCCTCCTTGAAACATTCTTGCTTTCAAACAGGGGCAAGAACCAGGGTCACTTTGCTCCTAGGCCCGAGTCCCTGGTGGTCTGGTGGGTAGGACTCTTGGTTTTCATTCAGGCTACTGCTAAGTCACTTCAGTCGTGTCCAACTCTGTGTGACCCCATCCCTGGGATTCTCTAGGCAAGAACACTGGAGTGGGTTGCCATTTCCTTCTCCAACGCGGAAAAGTGAAAGTGAAGTCGCTCAGTCATGTCCGACTCTTCGAGACCCCATGGACTGCAGCCTACCAGGCTCCTCTGTCCATGGGATTTTCCAGGCAAGAGTACTGGAGTGGGGTGCCATTGCCTTCTCCGTTAATTCAGGCTACTCGGGTTTAATTCCTTGCTAGGGAACTAAGATCTCTCTTCAGGACCATTCACTGCTCTCCCTCTGAGATCAGGCTCAGTAGTTGCGGGGCTCGGGCTTTGTTGCTCCATGGCCTGTGGGATCCTCCCAGACCAGGAATCAAATCCATGTCCCCTGCCTTGGCAGGTAGATTCTTAACCACTGGACCACTAGGGAAGTCCTTTTTGTATGTTTTTAACCTGTGCAGATAGATTGTCTAGTTTGAAGCAGCTGTTGTTCAATGATATTAGCTTAATTGGAGAAAATGAGAAATTTTCAGAAACTTAAGGAAATGTCAAATAGTGACACATAAAAATTTAATTAAGAATAGGTTTCTGAAAATGTAATTATTTTCATTTCATCACCACAAGGCCCCCCCAAAAAAAGAGGAAGAAGCAAAGCTTCTTTACACCAGACAGCATCAGTTGCATCATCAGGAAGTGTTTAAAAAGTCAGAGTTGAATGTGGAGGTAGCACCAGTGTTAGCATTTTGTGAATGAAGCAGGCCCACCCAGGCAGACTCACAGAGTCTACTCATCTCTGAAGTTCTTTCAAGGCAGGACAGTTTAATAGAAGAGCCTTTTATCAGGGTATTTCATGTCTATTATCACATGGGGATCCTCCATGAGAGGGAGAATACTCCATTTTCTAGACTTTTTCTGTCCCATACAGTAGCCATTAGTCAGGTAACTATTCAAGTTAAATTAATTGAAATACAATTGAGTGAAAAACACTCAATTCCTCTATCACACCGACCACATTTCAGGTCCTCAGCAGTCACACAAAACTAGCAGCTACCACGCTGGACAAACAGAACATTTCCATGATCACACCAAGTTCAACAGAACAGCACTGGCCTAGAGACATTTTCTCAAGTTTAGTGAGCTGTTTTGTACTAGCACAGTCAGGGTTTAAGCCCAGGTTTTTCAAATGCTAAACCCCATTAGCTTTACTACTCTCCCCCTGCCATTCACTTATTTCTAAGAGATGTGTGGCAGAACAGAAGTACAACCATGCTCTAACATAAGACAGAGAAACTGTGAGGAGAACAGTGAGGGAAGGTGGCCTGCCTGGCTTCATGTGTTGCCTACTCTGACATTTGTTTTATTTGAAGCCGTATGACTGGCAGATCAGCACACCAACGTTACAAAAACCATCCTCTNTTTTATTTGAAGCCGTATGACTGGCAGATCAGCACACCAACGTTACAAAAACCATCCTCTTGCTTTTCCCATGCCACCCCACACTTTCCTTCACTGCCACTGAAAGACCAGGAGATGAACTAAGAGAGACGCTTATTAAACTCATTTTGCATCTGCTTTCAAGTATTTGGGTGTGGTGGTTTTCATTTCCCTTGAATAAAGGGCGTCTTTTAATGGCCATATTTCGTCTGGTACAAAAAATATTTTGTCCCATGTCCCAAAGTAAACCAATTATTTTGAGTCACTTTGTTTTGAACTCTGATTCAGTCTTTTGAAGATCAAACCTTGTGTAGTTTGCCTTTGACTTGGTGAACTCATGTTTTTTGGTTAGTTTTATAAATTTAAAGCAGCATATTAATGAGGAAGGGGTACAGCCTATGTTTGAACTTCAGCACGAAAGGTTAAGTTTTCTTTTTGTTTTAATACTGTATTTTATTTACCTGGTATACAAAATTTAATTGCAACATGCAATCAGAATACAGATTATTTATAAGGCAGTTTATATCTTCTATTTTTAAGTTCTTGAGCCTCAATTTCTCCATCCTAACAAATTAAGCTATTTGTTTTGTTTAGTTTAATGGGATGGTTTAGATGTACGAAAAATAGAAAGTAATATGACAAGCCTTGTATTATTTTGCTGGGTGCATCTATCATCTAGTTTAGTAATTAAAGCAATAAAATACAACTGAAGAGCCACATGCCCTTGCTATACCCATACTTCTCCCTTGCCCAAGTAATCACAATCATGAACTTGATGATTATTATCCGCATGCAAGTCTGTATTCTTTATCCATATAGGTGTACAGGCCTAGAAATATTACTTAAAATGTTAAATGTTAGATTCTATAGATTCTTCCTGAAACTTGCTTTTTTCCCATTCAGTACTGATTTTAAGACAGATCTGGTGTGTACATGTAACTTCAGTGCCTTCTAACTCTTGCATTCAACCGTATGAATTTGCCATCCACTTGCCTCAGTAGTTTCCAAATGATCACTATAGCATCAGAGCTCTAACAAACATCTTTGTGTCTCTGTGTATGTCCCTTGAGGATATGCCAGGTTTCTCATGGGCTTAGCTATTTAAACTGTGTCCCTGGACCAGAAGCAATGATGTCACCTAGGAGCTTTTCAGAAATTAAGAATCTCATGAATTGGGAGATTGGGCCTGACATATATACACTACTGTTTATAAAACAGATAAGTAATGAGACCCTACTGCATGGAACTCTACTCGATGCTCTATGGTGACCTAAATGGGAAAGAAATCCAAAAACAGTGGGGATATATGTATGGCTGATTCACTTGCCTGGCTGTACAGCAGAAACTGACCCAGCAATGTAAAGCAACTATACTCCAATGGAAAAGAAAAAAACCCCAGAATCTCAGATCTTTCCAGCCTAACAAGTCAGAATCTGGTTTTAACTAGATCCTGTGGTGATGTGTATGTACATCAAAGATTGAGACGCACTGCTGTAGGTACACCACAAAGTAGTATTGCTGAATGAAAGATCTTATCAGCGATTTATCAAAATGCTCTTAAAGGTGGCTGTGCCACTATTAACTTTGACCAGCAGAGTTTTTTACCTCAAATCCTCAAAATTTGATACAATCAGGATCTCAGAATTATGCCAATCTTTTCAAAAAATGGTATGTCATTTTAATTTTCTCTGATCACTAATTGGGTGTCTACATGTTTATTGGCCATTCAGATGTCCTTTCTCAAGAATTACCTTTTTCATTTCTTTTGCCTATTTTTCTGTTGATATGTAATCCCGTGACTGTAGTCTTTCCCTGATAGCAGTACACAATGTGCAACAGGTCAACAAGTCTCCTAGTCATGCTTCACACACTATTTATACCCTCTAATGAGCTCTGAAGGCAGGGCTCATGTACTGCTGTATGCCCAGGATCTAGCACCCTCACAGATGAAGGGCAGTGGGATTTGTATTACTGTAGCCAGCTCAGAGGAGAGATTTGGAATGGAGATATAAAATGAGCATCATTAGCATATAGAAGAGATTTAATGCAATGGAAAGGAGTAACATCAACTAGGAAGGTTGTAGAGAAATGAAAAAGGACAATTAAATCCTGAAGGGCTATAGCACTTAGGCAAGGGAAATCTTCAATGAGGAAGGAAATTCTAAAGCTATCAAGCAAAAGACAAACTTTGATTATCTAGAAATCTAAATGTTCTATAGTAAAGGATACCATAAGCAAAGCCAATATACAAACAATAGACTAGGGGAAGAAACTTGTAATGGAGATGACAAGAATCAACATATATGTAAAAAGCTCTTAAAAACTGGTAAGAAAAGTCAGGCTAATTGTAAA